GCTGGACGCGATCAACTTTCGTGTACCAGTTTCCGGGAGTCTCGTGACTCAGCTTCGCTATCATCGGTACCACTATGCGATGTATCCGCTCAACCTGCCCATTACCACGAGGCACTCCCGTCGCTATTAGAAGATGCTCGATCCCCTCACGCTCGCAGTAATCTTTGAAGAGATTGGAGGTGAAGGCAGCGCCTCTGTCCGTTATTATGCGCCTAGGATTCCCAAAAAGTGCTGACTGCTTCCGCAATCGGTCAACCACAGCCTCTGCGCCGGTGTTCTTTGTCGGGTATAGCCAGACGAATTTGGAGAAGGCATCTATTACGACTAAGATGTGGTTGTAGGCTTTCCTAGTCAGCTCCATCGGTCCGACATGGTCAATGTGGAGGGTACTCAGTGGCTTGTCCTCCTTATTAATGGGGTTCAGGAAACCTTCCTTCTTGCCGGCCTTGGAATCGGTAACGATGTACTCTATGCCACTCCTGATGATCTTGACCACCTTTGCGTACAGCTGTGGTATAAAGTACGTCTTCTCTATAGCGTCTTGCGTCTTCTTTGCCGAGAAGTGGCCTTGCTTATGCGCCACTCGGATGATCTCTTCCTCCATAACCGACGGCACAACTACGAGCTCCTTGATGGGATCTTTGTAGAGTATGTCGTACTTGACATAAAAGTCGTCGAAACTGTGTTTCTCCAACACTTTGCGCACAGCTCGAATCCAGTCATCCTGCTGCTGGGCCTGCTTCAGACGGTGGTGTAGCGAATCCTCCAAGATCAGGCATGAGACTCCGCTAAGGGCGTCGACGTGACGCATCTTCGTGCCGCTGCGGTGCTCGATCTCGTAGTCGAAATCCTGAAGAAACATCGCCCATCGGGATACTCGCAGAGGAACATCTCGCTTCTTCATCGTCATCGTGAAGGCATTGCAATCGGTGACGATCTTGAACTTAATTCCCATGAGGTACACTCGCCACTTCTTTAGCGCCTCTACGACTGCTAAGGCCTCGAGCTCGTACGAATGCAGCTTCTCCTCGGACGGCTTCGTCTTCCGGCTCATATACTG